AGCAACCACACCCACACACCCACACACACACACACACACACACACACACACACACACACAGAGTGAACATACATATACAGATATATGTATGTATGCATTCATTAATTCTTTAAGTTCTGTTCCCCTAGAGATCCATGAATAATACAAATACCTATAGGTAAAACAACCAGCCTCAAACTTAACTTCATACTGTATGTAAAATTAATTCAAAATGGCATGGACTTAAATGTAAAAACAAAATAAAACATTTAGGAAAAATTATAGGTATCTAGAGCTAAGGGAGTTAAGAGTTCCAGCCTTCATGGTGAAACCATATACTCTCACAGGAAAAATTCATCTTCCTTAAAATGAAAAACTTTTATTCTGTAGATGTCCATTGGGAAGAAGATAAAAAGAATATTTTACAGAGATAATTACTGCAAGCCAAACATCTGGCAAAGCATTAGAATCCAGAAAAGAGAAAGAGTTCCTGGATTCAACAGTTAAGACACAATCTAATTCAATTATAGTCCAACAGGGGCTTTCTCACGGGGTGTATTTTCATAAACACAGGCCACAGTATATGCCACTTATACACAAAGGGGAAGGGGTATCTTTACCTAGAGAGGTGGCTATATTGCAGATGTTCAGCGTGACATCACTGTAGCATGTCTTCTGAGAAGGACCCAGTAAACCCCGCTCCTCCTCACAACACTGCATTTCTATATCTTCAAATGTCAACAAGACCTAAACAAACAAACAAACAAACAAAAACTGACATATGTTTAGTACTAGCATTGCAGAATCTGTTTGGTCACCTGCCTCTGGATCACGTGGTAGTTTGCGTGCTGAAGAAATTCGTATAGAATTTAGGTGGAGAAACTGAAATGACAGGAAGTAGCTAAGTGGACCAGTAAATAGCCTGTGAAATACCGATTCTCATTCTCATCATGCCCAGTCTAGTTGCCTGGAGAGCATTAAGGTCTAACAAACCCCAGAATACATAGTGGTCACTATAGGTGTTAACAGAAGGAAAAAGCAGGAATGTGGCTTCCTGAAAAAGATGAGAATTACAATAACAAAGGGCAGTCTGACTTCTTCCAGCCCTTCTACTCATCATCTTCCATGCCTACAAACACAGCCACAGCTCAGGACATGACCAATATTGTATCGAGCATAGTGGTGTGTTGCCCTGAAGCTATCTTCATCATTTGCTTTCTTGACTCTGACCCTTGTGAAGTGAATTTCTCTTTTCTTTTTATGTGAAAGATAAGGCATGGAACTTAAGAGGCTTTTCTTGGCAGCCTAATTTTGATATCTCCCTATAAGTAAGAAAAACTTTTGTAGGGGAAAGGGAATAAAACAAAGAGAAAAATGAAGACAGGGATGAGTACCAACCTGTCTCCACATGACTTGGTTACAGTAAGAGGCCAAAAATAAACTCTACTTTATATTCTTAGGTTGGTTCATGTAGGGAGGTGATATGCTCCTGTCCCCTGGGGGTATATCTTGGTTCCCCACACAACAGCAGCACCCAGAACATGTCACTAGGAGAGAATAGTGGAGGTCCTTTGCTCTCAGCTAAGGGCTGTGTTTTCATTAGAGGATACCACCCTCAGCACCTAGATTACCCCTATCTCTCTGTGGGCATTTTTCTTCAATGTCTTTTTTCAATTTTGCTTTACATGTTTCTTCTTCCTTTGTTCTCTTCCCCAAACTGTCTAACTTGTGCTTCTGTTCTCCACCCTCTACTTTCGTCTCTGTACTGCAATATGTTTTAGATCCACCTTCCCATTTCTTTCTTGCCTTTTATTTCTGTTTCTAACATCTCAAGTGTTGTATTCTTAGATCTGCTAGCGTAGGCCCACTACCATCAGTTCCTGGCCTTTAAGGCCATAAAAGACTGCCGGGGACTCTGAACTCCATGGAGTGAATGTCAGTACATTATTTTGGATCCAGCCTAGCAATTCTAAATCGTTTTTTTTTGTTGTTTGAGTTTACATAATTGGTGTTTTGCCTGCATGTGTGTCTGTGTGAGGGTTTCGGATCCCCTGTACCAGGTGGTACAAACAGTTATGAACTGTCATGTGGGTGCTGGGAATTGAACCCCAATTATCTGGAAGAGAAGTCAGCTCTCTTAACCACTGAGCCATTTCTCCAGCCCCAGCCTAGCCAATCTAAAGGAATGAGAAAATGTGATTAAATCTGTCTCCCTCCCCAAACCAAGACACATCTTCCTTTATCCTATGTCATTGTGCTTCACAAGGAATCTTAATTCTCACCTCGTTGGGCACGGCATCAGGCTCTGTCTGCAAGAATCCAACAAGAGACATGGCCTGTTTGACATCCTCTGGACGATGCTTTCGCACCCAGTTCTTTATTGCCCCGGGCAAAATGTTCAGGAACTGCTCTAGCACCAGAGATTCTACCATCTGACTTTTTGAGTTGGTCTCTGGCATCAGCCACTGATAGCATAATTCACGAAGCTTTTGGGCAACCTCTAGTGGTCCAGATACTTGATTGTTCCGGAAGTGCGGCTGAGCATTTTTGGGAGGGTGAATTTCTGTTTGTGAGCTATCATTCCTATTCTGCACACCCCCCATGTGAGCGCCGAAGCCCCCATCTTCCTTCACCTCACTCATTGTCACTTGCTGTAAGAACAGTTTACTTTTCTAGGAGATAATGTTATCCCCTTGGTGCTACCTTTCAGAAGTGAGGGACCATCAGGTTTGATACAAAACCAATAAATGAATGATTCTTCTTCCTAAGGGCAGATACAGGGGAAGAGAGAGACCAATAAAACAGAAAAATTACATGATAGATTCACTTGCCATTTATTACCAAAGAAAAGTGAAAGAAAAGTAAAAATGCTCCTTTAAATTCAAGTGTCAAATATCATGGTATGCATTACTTCTGATGTTACACTTCTTTTTTTTTCCCCACACTAGATTACAGCATAGCTCAGTAAAGACAAATGCCAAACAATGCCCTCTTTTTTGGTGAAAACTTTAGGAAAAGTTGGTGAATAACAAAACTGGCACCCGATGGCTAAAAGGAGCTCTGAGACTCTCCAGTACTTGTGCATGTTGGTCCGACTGTCACAAGTAAGGTGTATTTGTGGTCCTTTGCCATGTAACAGATAACCCTAGTCTTTCAGCTTCACTCAGTGGAAACCTAACTTCTATGTCCAGTAACTCTTTCACAATAAGTGCAGTTTTTTGCTTCATGGACTGTTTAACATTTTTCCATTTCCACTGTACTAACATGGAGAGCAAAACCAAGACAGTAAGATCAGAGATATCATTAGAGGCAAGATAACCAAATGTATCTCCATGAATGTCCTCCCGCAATGCAAACAGACCACTGATACTTGTGGGATGCCCATCTCTAAAGAGTTTATAAAGGGCCCTGTGCAAATTTGTTCCTGTGCATTCAAGTATGTGTTTAACTTAAAAAAAAAAAAAACCTTACAGCTGCCTTTTGCTTACAAGATATTCAAGTGCCAGGTTATTTTAAAAAGAGAATATGACTGTGTATTCTCCAGGCTAAGGATACCCTTGATGGCCTGATTTCCCAGAGGCAGGCGATCCAGCAGAAAGAACAAGAAAACTCTCAGGAGGTAGCAAGTATGCAAAGACACGGGTCCTTGTTTTGTTCTTTGAAACACAGGAGGTAGTGTGGCACTTTGTAGGTTTTTGTGTCAGCAGAAGCCAAATGGATCTTTCTGTGGTATGATGAGCATGAGCTAGTGAGAACTGGTGACCTTTATGAGTGCAGGGGTGAACATTACCACCCAAATCCACATCAGTAATTCATCGCACTTTCTCCGTGGATCACTGACATCCACAAACACTTCCCATGTGAGCAGCCTGTGTCTGTGCTCTAACCAACACTCTGGTTGCATAGGCACATAGTTAGAAGGTTGCCTCTGGATGTTTGAAGTGGCTGATGGAGTCTGTATTTGATCCTTGCTGAGGACAGGTTCTGAGGAAGGATTGGTAGATAGAACACAGAGGAGAAACAAGAGAGGATAAAGCTTCTCTTCATTCTCTCACTTCTGATTCCTGTCTCTGGTTAACACTCAGAAATTCTGACAGAAATAATGAAACCCACATGTTAAAAAAAAACAGTAGTCCCTTTTTGGAAGACATCACAAATGAGATTGTTAAAATGGGCATATGAAGCTCAGGTATGGTGGCACATGACACCTGGCACGCACAGTGAGTTCCAGGACAGTCATGGTTACATAGTGAGAGCCTGCCCCCCAAAAGAAAAAGCTTAGGATAGGCTGTTGAGGCAGTTCAGCTGCTAGAAGCGATCATTGCTCTTACAGAGAAGCCCAGTTCAGTTCGCAGCATCCTTGCAGCTCACAACAGCCTGTATAAAATCCAAGAATTCAATCACCTCTCGGGACAGTGCTGCTCCCACCTCCCCACCACAGGCACACACATGTGTGCCACCCAAAAAAGTAAAATCTTTTAAAAATGGCTTATGAGGAATTGGTAAGGTGGCTAGGCTCAGTGGTTAAAGGGGCTTTCCACTAAACAATATAACTTGAGTTTTATCCCTGGGACTCACATGGTGGGAGAGAAGGCTGCTGCTACAGGAGAGATGGCTAGTGCAGTCAGTGTTGTTTCAGAGGACCTAGGTTTCATTCCTAAAACCCACATGACATCAGACGCGCGACCGTCTTAAACTCCACTTGCACGGGATCCTCACAGACACAGACACACAGACACAGGTATC